TAGACTGTTTCATTTACAATTTTGCATCTTATTGAAGCAAATAGCATTGATAATCTATACTTCTTCAGAAAACTTTGGATACTAGTCAGATGTATGTTTGATTAATAAATTATACCAGTAACAAAATACAACATGTCAAAGCAGCTTGATGACACTATACTCCAGATCATGGAGGAGGAACTACAGTCTGATGGTGTGGCTAAACATCACGGAACATGCTTTAGATGATGGTTGTGTCTTTGGGTTGTTGGCCTTGATGTTTTTTCTAAATATAGAGCCGTGCCTTTTAAAGATGGGGTATGAGAATAAAATGACTATCTGTAGTTTAGTATGTAAAGAGGATGAATTTTAGCAGTACATTTTTCTGTTGTGTTATTTTAAGAAATTAATTTTCCTATGATGAGAATTTTTTTTCATTTTTCTCTTTTCTAAGTTTACATGAATGTAGTTATTATTGAAAAGCTAATTGGCTTTTTAAGGGAACGTGATATCAACTTCTTTACTAATAGTTTTAATGATATGTTCTACATTTTGGAGAGCAATTCTAAAGGAAAATAACAGTTTAATCTTTGTGACTTAGCACTGATTCATTGGAGTGTTGATACCAATAACAGTATATCAATGCAATAAGACTTCATCATGTGAATAGTAATACGTCTGTACCTTTTGAAAACTAATACAATAAGAGAATTTTAATGGCACGTTTGTGTTTCATTAATGAAACAAAAGACAAGACACATATGGCACATGAAAAGTGCTCTTTTGAATTCTAGAATGTACTTAGTATTGAACAAGAAAGAGGTAATAGGGCCAGGATAAGTTTTCTTTTCACCCATAGGTCATGTCTTTTCTTTCAGTATTTCTAAAAACCCAATTCAGATATTACACACAATAGACTGAATATCCTTTAAAAACACAAAATTGAGGTGTTTTGAAAACTAAACAAATTCAGCCTACCAAAATTACTGGTTTTGTTAGGTAAATGTTATTTTGTAGATCTCAGCAGTTTTCAGATAAACCATTTTCTTTAGAAGTAGATTTAACCATTTGTAAGCTGAACTTACCAACTTACCTTTTTTTTTTTTTTTTTTTTTTTTGGTGTGGTAAATTGTTCTTTTAGCATTTGTCTCACTAATTGGCTTTGATCACCACTTAGCCAGTGGTTCTGGATTTTATCTCAATAGCACAGAGGGGCCAGAGTTTAGAATACTGTGGGGTTGGGCAAATACATGGTCAGGCATAACTATATAATACCATCCTTCACATTTAAAGTCAAAGATAGTTCTTTTAATATTGGCACAGTGAATAAAGCAGAAACCGTGCAAATTTTGAAGTTGGGTAATGGGAAAGAAATGAAACTCAGAAAGCTTTGCAAAAGCCAGCATGCAGCCAAAAACAACAGCAGGTATGGCCATATGGCAATCAAATTAGAGGAGGCTTTCTTACCCCACAGATTCCGGAGGACAGTAAAGCACAGACAGCATGCACGGAGGGATGATTTACTCGGTGCATGTGGAGTTTCACACTGCCTCTTCCACTGTTCACTTACGAAGGGAATTTAAATAATTTTAAACAAATAGATATTGAAAATTTTTCTTAAAGGCTAAAAATAATATCTCACTTTCCTTCTACACTTAAAGGAGATTGTTAGCCAAATACATATTTCAAAATAAAGCATTTGTTAAGCTGGCATTCCTAAAGGAATCCAGCCTGGCAAAGATAAAGTTAATGTCATTATATTATTTACATAAAATATAGGAAGATATTAAAGTTTTAAAGCAAATTTAATCCAACAAAAATCACTCATAATATGATTAAAGTCATGTCTATTTTTTACCTGTAAAAACTATTTTCTAGAAGATCTTGAAGCACATTTTTCATATAATAAAAATTATTTGCTGAAAATGTACTTTAGTTCTTAGATGACCTCTCAAATTTTGTTAGCTATAAAAGGACTATTCTATTATCAGTCATTCTTAAATGTATTATTAATGTTGTATTGGGTTGCTATAACTTGAACAGTGGAGAGAGAAAGAGAAACAGAGAGAGACAGAAACGTGAAAAGAGAGAGGTGGAGGGGGGAGATACATCTGATTTAATCTGGAAAAATGCACTTGCTTTGTCCTTTATTGTTTTTAGCCTAAAGGAAAATCTAGTCTTTGTAAAGAACCTAGAGATACTTGTGGGAATTCCTCTACTCATTCAAGTTGCTCACACATCCATTCCTTTAAGGGGTGACAAGCTAGCCCACAGTAAGAGTGAAAACAGTGGTCCTATGTGAAACTGGATCTCCCTCATTCAAGTCTGTTCATGGCAACACTACACCCCTCTTTTCTACGACAAAATGTAGCTGGCTTTCTTTTGGGCCACAAACCAGCTCTCAAGTCATGAAACGGAGACTTATTAGTTATGAATCCTCAGCCTTAACTTATGCTCGTTTCTTGCTAGCTCTTATAACTTAATTAACTTGTTTGTGTTCATCTACGTTTTGCCTCAGGTCTTTTTACTCTTTCTTTTCTTTTCTTTTCTTTTCTTTTCTTTTCTTTTCTTTTCTTTTCTTCTCTTCTCTTCTCTTCTCTTCTCTTCTCTCTCTCTCTCTCTCTCTCTCTCTCTCTCTCTCTCTCTCTCTCTCTCTTCCTTTTGTTCATTTATTTTTTTGTATATCTTACTTTTCTGCTGTCCCCATGTCTATCTGTCTGGTGGCTACCTGGCTTCTGCCTTTGGGCATGTCTCTCTTTTTCTCCCTCATTCTCTCCTTCTAATCTCTTGCAAGTCTAGATTTCTCCTCCTACCTATTTCCTCTTTTCCCACCACCCGCACCTGTCCCTCAACTGCCTAGCTATTGGCCATGAGCTTTTTATTAGACCAATCAGGTTCCATAGGCAGGCAAAGCAACACATCTTTTACATAATTAAACAAATGCAGCATAAACAAATGTAACACACCTTTACCCAGTTAAAATAATATTTCATGACAACAAAATATTTAAGTACAAGAACAAAGGAATAACTAACTAACTGTTCAAACAAATAAATGGTAGTAATTTAAGGTCTAATTGCTTCTATAATAGTATTTTCCAAGGGGAATTATTATGTGTATTTGAACAATAATAAACAGTCTTTTCTAGGTAGAAATGATGGACTAGTGATCAGTTTCCTACTGAAGTGCCCACCTCACTGCTCCTCAAATTAGTTTATATGGATTTAAGGTAAAGGAAATAGCCATATGCCTAGAGATTGATGTGTGGTGGTGATTTGTTTTTTGCTTAGAAACATGGCTACCAACCATCTTAGAAAAATGTAAAAATTTTAAAAAGTAAAAAACAGTAAGCAAGTCATAGTCACTGCCTCTACCACTCAAGTGAATAACTGTTAGTATTTTGACACATTTTCAGTAATTTTTGTTGTTTTGAGACAGGCTCTTTGTGTAACATCTCTGACTGTCCTGGAACTCACTCTATAGACCAGGCTGGCCCAGAACTCACAGAGATCCACCTGCCTCTGCCTTCTGAGTGCTGGGATTAAAGGTGTACAGCACTACCACCCAGTTACTTCAGTAACTTTTAAATAAAACATATAGCTAAAGCCTTTAGATTATTCTATTTGGTCTCTCCACTCTCCCGTATGGGACAACCCTTAACAAGAGTTCACGGGTTTTTACTTTCCACTTAAACAAATGTATATATGCATCCATGAAAATAATGAAGTATTTACCTAGTGTATATATGTGTGTATATGCATATAACACACATTGTTTCATTTATTAAGTACATATATACATTTAATAGATTATATTACGACTTTGCATAGCTTTTACACTGAACAACCACTACTTCTTCCTTCCTCCTCCTCCTCTTCCTCCTTCCCTTCCATCTTTCTTTATGGTGCTGGAATCTGAGCTCAATCTTATGGGTCATTGAACTCTATCACCAACCCTCAATATATTTTTAAATGATTCCCTTTGGCAAACATTTATCTACTCTATTTTCAACTTCCATATTATTTTATCAGATGAAGGACAATATTTTATTTATCATTTCATTGAGAATATGTGTAAAATCCTTTCATGATAACTTTCTGGTCTTCCGTCACTCTAACTTAGCATTGGTATAATCAGCAGCATATTCAATCCTTTGAATGCAAGTTAAAAGCACATAACAAAATGCTATTGGGTATTTACCGATGGAAGTGCTCTTTTTAATTATGCCTCAAATATTACAAAATGGCAAATTATTCAAGATATTATTCTTAACATCAAATAATTTGTTCAATATTTGTATTAATCTTTCTCATAACTAGTCGCTTTCACTTTGTCTTCCTGTCACTGGGAAGAATGGAAATGTAATTTCCCAGAGGCTTTACGAAGTGGGGGAGTACTAACTGCGGCTAAAATTAAGTGATTAATAATTTACTTTGTAGGTCATGAATCAACTTCCACAGATGCTAAGAACCACTTGCAACCCCAGAAGCATGAGCAGTAACAATGCTCTTTTTAAGGCTTCAGAACTCTCAAAGGTTGGCTGCCCAACCTAATTAAACTTCAGTCTTCTGATACCAAATTTATTTCTTCCTTGTACTGAATTTCCTCAGATCTTCTTGACAGGAAAATGTCACTTCGCCTGACAGCTGATAGACAGGTTATGTAGCACTGTAATTGGAGAGAAAAGGATAGCTTAAAGCTCCTGGGTTTAATGGCTATGTGTATGGGTTTTTCTTTTTTTTTCCCTCTAAGGTTTCAATGACAGACACAAAAGGCCTTAGCAAATAGGCCTGATGCCATTTTTTTGCCTGCTTCCTCCAGGGGTAATTATCTTACTCCATCAATAGGGCTGTCAGGAATTGGGCACGTAATTCAGCATTTAAATGAACAAGCAATGTAATATTTCCTGTCTCCCAGTGGAACGCTGTGCCACTTGCATTCTTCTCTGTCGCCGGCACACTCTTGATGTATGTCCTGTGCCCAGTCCTTGAATGGCTTCTCTCCCTGGTGTTTCCCTGCAGATGCTGGCTTCGACTTGACACCTACTTCATTTGGAGTTTTATAGGACCCGCGACCCTGATAATTATGGTGAGTACTCCGCATTAACTATGCACTTCCCAGGTCAAGAAATAAAACTTCCACTATTCATGTACTAACTATCTTAGATTTACATAGGTTAATTTGGGGAAAGCATGTACTTATATGACCCTACATAACTCAAGCAATTAGACACTCATTACAGTCTACTTTTAGATGGTAAGATAGTTCATCAAAACTGATGGAAAAGGAAAGTAAGCATTTGCAGGAGTAAATGGCTACTCAAGAATTCAGTCCAACATTGTCCATACAGATGTCTTCACAATTGAACAGTGATTACTTTGACAACAGCCTATTTCCCTTTTCCTTGGGATAGTTGGAATGGAAAACAGATAGGAATTAGAAAAGTAGGTGAACACCTGGCCATTTCTTTTATTTATTTATTTATTTATTTATTTATTTATTTATTTATTTATTTATTTATTTATTTATGTAAGCCCTCAAGACTTTAACATTAAAAAAAAAAGATTTTACTTGAAAGTGGCACAACTAAATTAGGCCTGTCTTCTGGAATCATGTCTCCTTTTACATTGTTATCTGAGTAACACCTTTATTTCCCACATCATTTGTCCTAATATAAATGAATCTTTTAGCATAGTATCATTGTTACCATTCCAAACCTAGGGCCCACAAGATGGCTCAGCAGCTAGAAGAGCTTGCAACTAAGCCTGAGTTTTATCCCTGGGACCGACAGGGTTGGTGGAAATAAAGCACTCTGCCAGTTATCCACTGACCTCTGTATATACAGCATCACATGCACCTCCCATATTCACCCAGACACAGAAAAAGAAATGTAATAATAATTTACAAAGCTACTGCTCATTTTTGGAAAGAAGTGGTAACCCCTTGGCTTTGAATAAAATATAGGGCTAAAATTTTATTTTCCTGAGCTAGACATATTTTGAAATAAAACAAAATACTTCAGACTTGAAAACAACAATATGGCATGATTACTACATAATATGTGTCTATGCACATGTGTAAATATGTCATGCGTATGTGTACACACATGTACAAACATGCACACACCGAGAGATAACGGAAAAGCCTGTTGTCTAAAATCAATCACATTGACTATTACTCAAATATTTGAGAGAGTAGGAGTCAGTCTGTAACCAAATAGCATTTCAGGAAGTAAAAGAAAGTCAAATGATGACCCTGGACAGCCTCATGTCAATACAGAAGAGGCTTTCCTATTAGTTGCATTCAGTTTAAATTAAGCTTTTAGCCACTCAATGATGTTTGTTTGTTTATTTGCTTTGTTTACAGTTTTCTCCCTTCATTTGATTTTACTTTTGAGACTAAGAGATCAATGATAAAGAACCATGAAGCTCTATTATAGTGAGATTGTCAGTGGAGCATTTAATTGAACTTTCGTGCTCTGCATCAGTCCCCAGTTGTATAGTGTAGAAACTAATCCCCTGGTTCAAGTGTAATTCAGCATATGGCTTTCTTTACAGCAGTGGTTCTCAATCTGTGGGTCACAATCCCTTTGGCAAACCTGTATCTCCAAAAATATTTACATTACAATTCATAAAAGTAGCACAATTACAGTTTTGAAGTAGCACTGAAAATAATTTTATGGTTGTGTTTCACAACATGGGAAATTGTATTAAAAGATTGTAGCATGAGGAAGGTCAAGAACCACTGATTTGTAGTGTTCATATAAGGCATATAGGTAATTTATTATCTTTTAAGTTATAGACATTTTTACATCTTTTGTGGCATAAAAATACCACAAGAGAGACTCTGCTTACAGTCTAGTCTATTGCAGCATCAGAATTTAACCAGCATTTTCTAATCCATTTTGCTTATGCATTCAAAATGTACTGAGGTTGGTATTTGTGTTTGTTACCAGGTGTAGCAGTGCAGATCAGAGGTAGGAGGATGACCAGAAGGGCAAGGTCAGCCTCGCCTATGTAGTGAGGTGTAGGTCAGCTGGGGCTTCATAATGAGACTGTTTCAATAAATAAATAAATATAATAAAAAAGTATTTTTACACTAATTATTTAGCATCTGTCAAAGCGCATCTCTTAAGCTGGCAGGCTGACCAACCCTGCAACTACCCAGGCCCAGAACTAGGTTTAAGTGTTGGCCCACCCCAACACCAACCCCATCTGTGATCTGCTGGAGCACAGGTGTGGGGGTGTGGTGGAGGTCCTCTGGATCCAGGGCTGCAGGATCTCCAGGACACAGGGCAGCAACAGCACATCCAGGAAGAGTCCCAGTGAAGGCCCAGTGTCTGTAGTGCATCAGAGATGAGGGACCTGGAACCCGACCAATGATTCTTTGCAGTGAACGCCTGAACAAAAGATGTATGGATAAAGGGGTTTACTGCATGACTCACTGTGTCACACTGCAGCCTCCATGAAGAGATTTTTCCCTTTTCTTCCTTTTTTGTCTTTCCTTTTTTAATCTTAAGTTTTATTTTGCTTTTTTTTTGTGGGGGGGGCTTCAGGGGCAGAGGGCAGATTGGAGGGGACAGGAGATAGGTGGGATCAGGATGCAAAATATGAAAGACACATAATAAATTATTTTAATAATGTTTAAAAAATATATCTCTAATAACTAAAATGAAAACTGTGTATAATTAATCAATCTAGAGACATGTTTACAGAATGTCAATATATTAGTTCTCTTAGACTAATTCCTAGATTTGGGGGATTTGGTTTTCTTAAGCATGCACTGGGCTTTGAGTTATTCCAGAATTTCAAAAGCATCCTTCCAAATTATCACTGATTTTGCATTTTGTATGTATTTGGTACAGCCACATTTTGTAATTCAATGGTATCACAATTCGCAAAGCTGGCTTCTTGCTTTTGCTAAAGCATTAGACAGTTACCTGTGATTCAATTCCTTTAAGAGTCTACTGAAAACTAATTTCCCAGAACAATTCATGTGTTACAGGGAATGGACTTGATTTTTTTTAATACTATGGTTATCTACATAGCATTACCTTTTGCATTTCAGCTGAATGTAATCTTCCTTGGGATTGCTTTATACAAAATGTTTCATCATACTGCCATACTGAAACCTGAATCAGGCTGTCTTGATAATATCAAGTAAGTGATTCTTAGTTTTATTTTTATATACTGTACTTTAAAATTGTTTCTAGTTTATACCGTAAAAAATGATACAACAAAGTAGTATCAAGTTCAATGTATTGATTTTGTTGAGTAAGGTTATTTATTGGATAAGGTAACTTGATCATCTTACAATCAATGTAATGAGACCCTTTCTCTAAACCTACCTTTCCTTGTAAGCTGTATTTTATAAATATGTTTTTAATGTCTACATTCACTATATCTTTTGAAGAAGTGCAGCATTTCTAAATGAGAACAGAAACTACTTTCTAGTGCAGTAACTGTAAGAAATCTCTCACACTGTACTCAATCCCTCAGAGCAATGGTGTTTGCAAAGGCCCCAGTAGTGACGGTACCTGCAGTGATAGTTCCTACAGTGATGTTTCCTGCAGTGATGGTACCTGCAGTGATAGTGTCTGCAGTGATTAGACCTACAGCAATGGTACCTGCAGCAATGCCTTCTGCCATGATGGTACCTGCAGTGATGGATCCTGCAGTAGTGCTGGTTTCTACAGTGATGATACCTACAGAAATGGTATCTGCAGTGATGGTACCTGCATCAGTGGCTTCTGCAATGATGGTATCTGCAGTGATGGTGCCTGCAGGGATGGTGCATGCAGTGATAATTTCTGCAGTGATTATGCCTACTGCAGTGGTGTCTGCAGTGATGGTACCTGCAGTGATGGTACCTGCAGCGATGGCTTCTGCCATGATGGTACCTGAAATTGCATTTGTCAATGGATGAGAACTGGTAGTCCTTGCAGGTACCAAAAAGGGAATTTCACATGACTGGAAAACAACCATGAAATACTGAGTCTGAGGAGTCTGAGTATTCATGTCGAAGTCTTTTGTAGCTGTCCTGTTCTCCTTCTGATGAGGGAGGTGAGGTGCACTTTCTCTACTGTTCAGAAGCACAAGTTGAGAATGTTTTATCCAAAATGCCCAGGTTCAAAACATTATAGAATTTTAAGTAGTTCAGATTTGAGAATGTTTGTATACATTTCATGTACAGTTTGGTGGTTGAGAATTCCTACTCTGAAAATAAAAGCCAGAAGCCGTCTAAATCCGAAGATCAAAAATCTGAAACTTTTTGATCATTATGTTTGGATGTCAAAACATTGTATTTGGACTTTCCCTCTCAGTGATTCTGAGTCTTTATTTTGAAATATAAGTTCTACCTTACCTACCTTTAAAACATTTACACCTTCTCCTAGAAGGTAAATCTACCCAGAACATTTTCCACTCAATTATCCTTTCACTTTCAAATTCTGTCCTTTATTACAAATTTTGTATGTTTTTATCCTCAGACAAGTATAAAATGCAGAAGAAATATGACATATTCGTATTTCATGTTAACCTACAATGAAAATACATATAAAAGCTAAATTACATTTTCTGAAGTCTCTGAATTCCTTGTTACAAGCAAAATTGTATTTTAATTTACTTATTGGTCTTGATATTTGAAAAATATATTAATATCGAGAAGCACATTAGTCTCATACACACACACATACATATATACATGCATACACACACACACACACACACACACACACACACACACTCATGCTAAATTGCATTTTCATGTGATTTCTGATGTTGTGTATTGACTTAGATGAATAATTCTATGAAGATGAATGCACATTCAGGACATTTAAGGGACATCTGAGATTTCCCTGTCCTCCTTGAACTATGTCAGACAAGTCATGTCACTCACTTCTTAGGTTTCTGTATTGGTGCCTGACAGTTACTGCCACAAGTGTTTCAGAATACCACAGTATACTAAGATGTTGGTGACAAAGATTATTGACATTAAGCAGTTCACTTTGGTGAATGAATAACTCTCCTAAGTTACTTTAAAAGAATAGCTAAGAAGTTAGGAAAGTAAAACATTTTAGAAGTAGCTAGAAATTATCCACACTAAAGTACTGTCTCGTATTCTTAATTTTACTTTCTTGTTACAGTAATGATTATGTTACTGAATTATGTGTGATTCCGTTGTCATTCTAAAATGTACTGTGCATTCCATACTGTTCCTGATGACAGTGAGTTTTGATATGTTAAGTAGCCACATAAAACACATTTTTCTAAGCCAGGCGGTGGTGGCGCACGCCTTTAATCCCAGCACTCGGGAGGCAGAGCCAGGCAGATCTCTGTGAGTTCGAGGCCAGCCGGGCTACCAAGTGAGTTCCAGGAAAGGCGCAAAGCTACACAGAGAAACCCTGTCTCGAAAAACAAAAAAACAAAAAAACAAAAAAACAAAAAAACAAAAAAAACCACATTTTTCTTACAGCATACTTTACTCAAGTCATTATAAGATATGTTTCCATACCTTTTGTTCTGTGCAGTAAATTTATCTAGGTAATTTTAAAGTACCATTTGGCAGATTAAAAAAACAAAAACAAAAATGAAAACAAAACAAAAAAAAAACTTTTGTCTTTATTTCAACATCTACCAGGGTAAAACTTTAAAAAATTTGCAGTCATTGTCGTATCTCCAAGTAATTTTAAAGTAGTTTTATAAACTCTTTGGGCAATCTAGCATTTCTTTAAAGCTATTTCTTGTTCTTAGTACTGACTGTCACATATTGTAAAATATATTTTTCGATAACAAGTACTGTTTAGAACAGTGGAACACCCCAAAACTAATGAGTATATTTAATGACATTGATCACATTACATTTTATAATACAAAGCAAAATGAAGTCATTAGTAAGAATACTTTGATTTGCATTCCATCAAAACGGCTTAGAGCTTTTGGAGAGTACTTAACTTTGCTGAGTCATGATTCCTGCCTTACAACTGTATAATGGATGCAGCATAACCAACCCTCCAATGTGCCTAGGAATGCAACGCCTTTGATGATGCTTTCAAAAAACTCCGTAAGGGAAGACTGGTTGTTAAAATTATGTGTCACGTGACTTTAAAACAGAGCTGTGACTGTGGCTATGCTGACAGAAAAGAACCAGCAGTAGTTTTAAGAATGTAAGAAAGGAAATAGGGGAAGTCATTGTCGTAGTGTCATATGACCTGAGGAACTGCCGGAGCCACATCCACAGCATTGATGGAACAGTTCACTGCCTTACAGTTCAGAAAGAGCATTCTTCTGCTGCACCAAAAGAATCCAGGAAGGCTAAGCTTTGCACACTGTGACAAAATGGAGGAAGTTACCTTGGCGTAATGTCATATGCTGATGGAAACAAAGTAGACTACTAAAATGAGGGATTTCTAATCACACTCCTCTACACAGAAAGATGATCTTTTGAAGATCAAGAGAGTATGTGGGAGAAAGATAAATCCATCTCCAGAAAAGAAACTCTTTATTACTTTATGAAGTCTGGGGGAAATTTCATTTTATTTGAATTGCATTGTATTAGGTAAGTAGTTGTAAAGAATTGACAGGTTGGAAATAGAAGTGTGGAGAACGTTCTCTTTCAAACACTGAACACAAGACATTTTGTGTGGCTGCTGCAAAACCGAAAGTATTATTGGAAACTGGAAGATTTGTTTTATGACAAAATAAACAGTCCATCAAGAAAAAAAAAAAATCTCAAGCACGCCTGCACTTAAATCATATCGTAGTTTCAAAATACATTAAAGTTTTTAATAATAAAACATTTATTACTCATTTTCAATTGTTCCTTATGTTGTTTTAGTTGTTTCATCATTCATCATAACAACCACACCATACAGATAATTTTATCTCTATTCCTCTATGAATAAATGAAATCCCAGAAGCAATTTCCAGACTATTATAGCCAAGAGATTTTAACTACGATGGCTTTGTTTCTAAACTCTTTCTAATGTACTTGTTCCTTCTTACTAAGGTTTGTTTCTTGTATGTTAAATCTTTTTTCTTATTTAGTTTAGTAAATCTAATCTTTTAGTTAGAATATTCCAGTTTTTAATTTTTATTTTTTTAATTATTTTATTAAGAGATTTTTCTATTCATTTTACATACCAACCACGGATTCCCCTGTCCTCCCTCCTCCCACCTCCCAGCCTTCCCCCCAACCCACCCCCCATTCCCACCTCCTCCAAGGCAAGGTCTCCCGTGGGGAGTCAGCAGAGCCTGGTACTTTCAGTTGAGGCAGGTCCAAGGCCCTCCCTCTTGCACCAAGGCTGTGCAGAGTGTCTCATCATAGGCAATAGGCTCCAAAAAGCCAGCTCGTGTACTAGGGACAGGTCCCAATCCCACTGCCTGGGGGCCCCCTATACAGTTCAAGCTCAACAACTGTCTCGTTTATCCAGAGGGCCCAGTCCAGTCCCATAATTATTGATGTGGTGGTTTCATTCTGTTAGTTTCTTATCATTGTAGTTTGTGTATTGTCCCCCTGTTCCTCCTTTATTCCTTCCTTTGATAAATAACACTATTTTGTGTCGCATTTTATTTTTCACTTTGGCTTTTTAGCTAATCACTATAGTTTTTAATCATTTGTTCAAAAAATTAAAACAGAAACCACTAAATTAATACAGTGTATGTGTAATATAAATGATGTTTCGCCTATGTTCACTTCACACACTTGTACACACACACACACAGTCATGTTTTTGGTTGAATATGTGTTTTCTCCTCATTCTATTTCACGGGCACCATTTCCTTTAGTCACTCTCATTGTTTGAAGACTCTCAGTGATGGTTCTATTAACTTGTTTCTTCTTTTACCATATTGTTTTTGCCTCCTTCTGCCACCAGCTGGAGAGGGGGGGGGGGGAGAGAGAGAGAGAGAGAGAGAGAGAGAGAGAGAGAGAGAGAGAGAGATAGATCTTGAAAGTGTTAGTTCAGTCATGTAATGTAACTGTAGGGATAAAACTCTTCAAAGGGTCCCATTATTTTTAACTTAAGTTCAAACTCCTAGTCCAAGCCAGTTAGGCCCTGGTAATCTTGCCCATCTCCTCCGTCTCCTTTCCTTCTTCGTCATGAGCCCATCAGTCCACTTTAGGCATGTGCTCTTTTCCCTCAAGTCTTGCCTCTGCCCAC